TGTGTTCTCATGGTCACCTGAATAGTGTTAATGGTTCCTGTAGTCTGCAATTTTTTCCTCTGGAAATCGATTCCCACTCCCACACCATTCAAAGGGCCTTCATCCTAAATTGTATAGCTAGAGATTCTCTGAAATCCAGATCATGGTTGTCCCAAAGGTGCATTTTTTTTCCCAAAAGGCAATTGGACTTCCTTTGTTATTTTCTTCGAAGACATTTCGCTTCTCCTCCAAGAAGCTTCTTCAGCTCTGACAGGACAATGGGGAATGGAAGGATTGATACTCCTTGCAGACAGCTGGTCATTCGCATCCTTTTAGAGAGTCATTGAGGCCACTTGGAGGTTTATCTGTGTCCTCAGGGTCACCTGAGTGGTGCTAATGATTCTTGCAGTCTGCAATTTTTCTGGAAATCCCTTCCTAGGTAAAGGTATAAAGGTTCCTCTTGCGCATATCTGCTAGCCGTTCCTGACTCTAGGGGGCGGTGCTCATCTCCGTTTCAAAGCCGAAGAGCCAGCGCTGTCCGGAGACGTCTCCGTGGTCATGTGGCCGGCATGACTAAACGCCGAAGGCTCACAGAACGCTATTACCTTCCCACCAAAGGTGGTTCCTATTTGTCTACTTGCATGTTTTAAATGCTTTCAAACAGCTAGGTTGGGGCAAGTAATGGGAGCTCGCTCCTTCGTGCAGGATTTGAACCGGCAAACTGCCGATCTTTCTGATCGAAAAAGCCCAGCGTCTTAGCCGTGTCCCTAATCCATGCCTACTCCCGCACCATTCGAAGGGCGTTCATTCCAAATTGGACAGCTAAATCTCTGCAGAGATTCTAAAGTCATCCATGGTTATGGCTGCACCCAAGATTGGGCCCATTGTTCTCGATTAGCATTTGTGGTTTGTAGGAATAGATGACTCCGGGCAAAATTTCACCTTCCTTTTTGAGGGCATCTTTGCCTTTCGCGAATGAGATTAGTTATAAGTGTTAATTCATTTATTATTATTTTTTTGCATTGCAAACATGGACACCCGCAACAAAGTCAATACAGCCCTTGGTGTGTGGGAGACAGATCTGATTAAGCAGGCGAGATGTGACAGGGTGGTGACAGGAGCTCACACATCCTGTCGCGTGACCCTGATCGGCAGGGGGGGGGATCAATAAACAGAAACGGCTTTTAACCGGTGACAATAACAATCTCTTCTCTTTCATGAATACAAAACAGGAGGAATGCTCATTTCCCGTGCCTTTATCCTCGTTCCTCCGCAACTGAGATTTGCAGCCCTCGTCAGCAATCAATCTCGATCTAAGCTTAAATCAGAAACTCTGGCTTTGCAGGAAATGCATTGCAGGCTGGGGTGGGATTCAAAAATTTTAGCAGCCAGTTCTCTGCCCGGGTGCTAGGTAGGCATGGCCATGCTGGGTGTAGCCTACTCAGCCTCCTACAACACAGGGGGGACTACTGTAATGCACTCTACATAGGGCAGCCCTTGAAGAGCATTCGAAGACTTCAGCTTGTCCAGAGTGCAGCCGTGCGAGCGATTGTGGGTGCACCCCGGTACACACCCACGTTACACCTATCCTCCGCGAGCTGCACTGGCTGCCTATTAGACTCCGGATGCGTTTCAAGGTGCTAGTCGTAACTTTTAAAGTCCTACATGGTATCGGACCTGGATACTTGAGAGACCGCCTCCTGCCAATTACCTCCCTTCGACCAATTAGTTTCCACAGATTAGGCCTCCTCCGGATACCATCAGCCAGCCAATGTCGACTGGCAACTCCCCAGGGGAGGGCCTTTTCTGTGGCTGCCCCGGCCCTCTGGAACGATCTCCCCATGGAGATTCGGACCCTCACCACACTTCAGGCTTTCCGCAAAGCCGTTAGGACCTGGCTGTTCCAGCAGGCCTGGGGCTGATGAGTTCCCAGCCCCAATCGAATTGCTGATTGTTGTGTGGTTTTAACTTGTCTTTGTATCCTGTTTTGTTTCGTTTGTTTTTTATCCCCCCCCTTCCTCATATCTCTTGTTCGCCGCCCTGAGTCTCTCCGGGAATAGGGCGGCATACAAGTCTAATAAATGGA